AACCTGTTGATCACCTTTATCTTATTTTCGTACAATTATTTGAGTTGATAAATGCAAGTTTACCACCATAGAAAGTTTCCAAAGCTGTTGCGTTGAGTGTTAGTCTATTGTTAGTCAGTTGATAAAACCAAATTTTCTTGCGGTACTCTCCTTTCAGGCTGCACCACTGCACCATGTTTATAAACAATGATTGGATAAGATTTTTTGTGATATCCACTATAATCAGGGTAGAGTAGGGGTTATCAGCCAAAGCTGTCAGGGCTAAGGCAGATAACCCTTACTGAGACCTTGTCTGATTATTCTGAATATCAAAAAAAAAAAAACTGAATTTAATAATTGTCTTATTACTCACTGAATGAAAAAAAATGGTTATGACTGTTAGTGGAACTGAGAATTTATTTCTAAAGGTGTAGAAATATACAAATCAGCAAGTAACAGAAAATGTGCAAACTTGACATGATTACCCTTAGAAATCATGCATGGCGTTCATATGTGGCTTGATTTTAACTATGACCTTGGGTGTCCTTTACATGATTATTGTATAATCTGCAGCAAGCTGACATCCCGGCACTGATTTTGAAAATTTATTGTATGCTTTTGACCCATCAGAACAAAGAGATAATGAGTTGAATGTATATTAATAATATCCTATCTCTGTTTGTTTGAAGAATCAGCTGAGACTCCTTCAAATACTCCAGAAACTGGTAACCCACCAGCTCAATTGAGTTATAGTCAACTGTGGAGTTTAAGGTAAGCTCTTCATTTTTGCAATATTGTTCTTTACTAGCCCTAGTTGTTCAAGGGGTGGATGATACTATCCACTGGATAAATCTTTATTTGGTGGATAGTGCATTGAGTATAGGTTACATGATTTCTAGTGCAATTTGGTGTTAATAGCCATGAGTACATTTTTCAGAGACAACAAAATTGCATGAGCCTGTTGGGCAAGTGCAATTTGTAGTCTTTGGAAAACTGATTTACAAGTGCTTATTACATCAAATTGTACTTGAAATTATGTTATTACTTGGAAATAATGTAAAACTATGTAAAAAAAAAACATCACAGAAAGTCAAGACAAATGAGATTTTGAAAGGGTGTGTGCGCTACTTGAGTTACAACTTTGCACTCGTTTTACAACTTTAAACTTGTGTTACCAGAGAATGCACTAGTTTTCAGCCAATTAGAAGTGCATAATTTTTTATATTGGTTATCATTTATCCCCTAGACAGCAATTTTTCCATAGGATAGTGTTAGCTGCCCTTTCAACAAATGAGCCCATATCATCAGTGTAATTTTTTATATTGGTTATCATTTATCCCCTGGACAGCAATTTTTCCATAGGATAGTGTTAACTGCCCTTTCAACAAATGAGCCCATATCATCAGTGTGCATGGGTTTGCTTTGGGTCTTAGGCTCCAAACCTCAAAAATTCAGTGTCTTTATGCAGTTCATTCATGTTAATGCCTCATCTTAACAATTCAATTTGTGTTTAGGATGATCCCAGAACTCAGCTGGGCTACTTGTTGTGTAAAGTTGGTCAGATATTGTATGTACATGTGGCTGCCGATGTATCTTTACCAAGCGGTAAGTGCAGTTCACCCTTTAATTACCAGATCAAGTTTGTAATTCTCTTTACTGTCAACCATACAATTCTTATAATGTTAGCTCAGAGAATTTAATATCGGATCAACTACTTATCCCCAAATTGATATTTTTCTTTATTC